CCCCAAAACCCCAAAACCCCAAAACCCCATGATACTATTAATAGACTTTAAATTCGAAATAAAAAGTTAACGGGTAATAAATATAAATCTAAGAGTTATTTACAAATGATGAAAGTAAAATAAAATCAGCACTCTTAATCTAAGCGAAACTTAGACTCTTATTCTGCTGCAGTTCCCAAATCTAATCAAAGTTATTAGTAATCTCACAACCATGACATAATTTCAAATGCAAAGCCAAAGTATAAATAGCAAAATGAAGTAAATATTAAAATGAATAATGAGAGGAAAAATACGCAAATGTAATACAGTCAAAGCTATAATATGATGGAGGAGACAGACTAATAAATGAATAGCAAGCGATTAAGTACTGAGAGCTAGATCATATATGACCATTTAAATTAGCAACAATAAAATATGCAAAACCACATTAAGAGTGTTGATCTATTCTACCAACAATTTGAGAATGAAGTATAACATATATTGAAAGATTATGGACATCATAAGAAGCGGCAGTCAATGCAAGTAAAAAAGCAGTAGATCTTATAATCTAGCCAATAATCCAATATTCAGCAGCATATAAAACAATAGCCATAGTCTCTAAGATCTTCAGCATCAGGTACTATCTCATCTTAAAATAAGTAAAAGTCTCCATAAAAAACTCCAAAAAGACAATAGAAGTTATAGAGTTCTGGAAATTTATCTACACATAAAAAATCCAATTGCAATAATAATGACCTTAATATATATGGTATGGTGGACTAAGCTATGCCCGAGCAAGATAAAAGATGCAGTTTCTAAAAACCGATTCATAGGCATACTCAGAGCCACTAGATTTAGCCTTAGTCAAAGTCAAAAGGAAATTATTATAATCTAGAGAATTAGGAAAATATTTAGGATTCTGATGACGGAGAATTCTCTGTTAGTACTAATCCATATCTTATGCCAAATAATAAATCTTAATCTAGACTTGAGTAGCAGCCACTAAAACCCAGAGGGCACTCGAATTCTGTATATTAAGATGGCTCTACTAAAGCTGGATAGGTGGACTAATACTAAAGCACTCCAACTTAATAAAAAACTAAAATACTAGATTAAAAAGTAAAGCAAGGATAAAATTAGTACTAAGATCAAGCATATCAGATTAAAAACACTTCAATTTAACAGCATAAAATGCTAAATTAAAATAGTAATTTTTTCCATGTAAGAAGTGAATTAGCATTTGAGTAGTAATAACTGAAAGATCTTACTCCATAGCTTTATTAAGGCGGGAAAGATGTTGTAATTGATTTCAAAAGGTCCTCTATCAATTTATGTGATGAATCTTCACAATAAAGTTATATCAAAACTCCTATGAATAAGGAAGTTGAAGTAATGCATAATAAATAGTAATCTGGTTTAAAATATGTTGATAATCAATAAAATCTAGTAAGCTAGTATTCTAATAAAAGACCATTAATCAATGATTTTGAATTGCTATAGTCTGGTTATTAAGAAATCCACTCCTTTATCAAAGAAAATGAAAATATGATAGAAAATGAAATTTAGAGTATGAAAAATAAACACCCATCAAGACAGCACAACCATAGTATGATTGAACTTCCTTATTAAAGCAATCAAAACAAATCAGTTGTAAATCCTACTATCAACATTAAGGCTTTAAATCCTATCAATATCACAGAGATATCAGTTGCAAGTACGACCTTGAATTCTAATGACTATGTTTCAAAAAGTTCTAAGCACTAAAAATTGTTTTAATTAGCTCTGTAAAAGCAAAAGCAACAAAGATAAAGAGACTTGCAGAATGAAATCTTAGACAAAGAATGCTATTTTCATCCATAGATAAATAAAAATTCCTCTTTAATCTTAGAAAAAAGAAAATAGTCTATGGGTTCAAATTAATCTTACTCACCCCCGACTCATAAACACAAAGTTGATGTCTCAGTAGAGAAAGATTTAAGCGTCAAGAGAGTAAATAAAAATCTTAATTCCTAATTAAAAACTAGAAATAGCAGTAATCATACTAAGATTAAGAGCTCTAGATCTAATAAAAGGGACATTTCAAATCATGATACCTCTAATTAGGACATTGGCTCTTAGAGAACTTCTAAAAAGCAAACTGAACTCTTAGTAATTAGGAAAATTCAAAGATAAATAGGCTAAGTTATCAGTCATATTTAAGAGTCTCTTGGAATAAAAGATATAATCAACTAGCAAGGACTGCATAATATTTTTTATTACCTTGGGACTTTCTCTTCGAAGTTTGATAGTTATGATCTACTTAATTAGAACAGAAGAAAGTAAGAGCTAGCATTTATAGAAGATCTTTGGAATTTAGTATTACCTGTCCATCAACAGTAGAGCTATGATGTTATTGCTGATTAGTCTGAGTCTAAGATTGGCATTTAAATTGAAATACTCTAAAAACTGCTTATGATTCTATATTGCCCTCTTAACAAAAATAAAGCTCTAGAAGACTTGACCTATTTTATTCCTGAGATACGCATTAATTGTATTCAGAGAATCGATACCTCATAACTTGATACCTATTCTCTTTATCTAGACCCCGATTATCTTATCAACTAAGCAAGGTAACTTTTTAATACCTTTGAGGAATTAAATGGAGGATAAGTTGGAAAGATTTAAGTATTTAGATTGAAGTTGAAAAATCAATCATTAATTGATTCAAAGAACTAAAAAGAAATAGATGAGCAGAGTAATTGTACTTTTACTCCATAAATCAACCTTAAATCAATCGAGATGGATCATAGACGATTCATAACTTGTGAAACTAATTATAGATCTACAACGGATTAGCAATACTCAACAGGTACTAATATAAGAACCATTTTATGCTTTATAGAGAATGATGATAATAGGTCCGGTATGAAGAGAGAAGAGTTATTGCAGATTCAAGGAAAAATTCAATAAGAAAAAATAAAGAAAATGAAAGAGCTTATGGATCTCAGGGAAATGTCACAACATACCTTCAAGCCATAGATCATTGATAAGTCTAGAGAGCTTGCAAGGGAATCTAAATATGGAGTAACTTAAATATTTATAATAGTATACATAGATTGATACTAGAAATTCGATTAATGGCTTGGATTAGCAGTTTAGCTCTAGAAGAGGCTAAAAATCTCCATCTCTTTAGTAGTATTTGGAGAGTAAGAACAAGGAGTGCACCTTTAGACCTCAATCTTCACTTGGCCGAAATTAGAATTAGATCTCAACTAAAAACTCTCAATCTGTGAAGAAGATAAAGGGCTTTGAAGATGCGATTCGCAAGAACAGAGATAAATCAATAGACGCCAAAAATTATAATTCGGTAATAGATAAGAAAAGATCCTTTTCAAGAAAATCTTCTGCTAGGAACTTCAATGCCTCATTGAACTAATCTACTATTTCTAATCAATCTAGCAAGCAACCGCCAAGTTTCATAGACAGAGAGATTAAGAAAAAGTAGCATCTATTTGTCTTAAGCTTAACTCTGAGCAATAAGAAGTAATATTAAGTCAAAGTACCTAAAAATGTCAATCCCTCAAAGATAGCTGACCTTTTTTGTTATGAAAATGGCTTGTCTGAAGATGTGAAATTAGAGTTAAAGGAATTATTGACTAAATGCTTAGTAGAATACAAGCAGCAAAGTGACTTCAATAAGTATATTAGCCAGAACTGATAAATGAAATAAGATATGATAAATACTTTAATGGGCTGTTACTGAATAATAATGAAATTTGGAGAATCATTTGATTGCTTGTTTCTACTCTATAATTTTGTGATGTAAATTAAATAAAATTTCATTTAAAGAAAGAGATATAAATATATTATGAATTTTAAGAAAATTATTTTGTATTAACTCTCTTGGAGAAATAATGTGAAGATTTTATTGCAGATAATACCTCAAAACTTCTCATCTGCCTCTGTATTATCTGGAGCCTGGAGTTGTGATGACTACCTGGTTTTAGCTCTGAGGAACATCAGCTTTTGAGAAAAGTACAGCATCCCCAAGATAGTCAATGTCAAATCTTTCATAGTCGTAAAACTTTCTTACTTGTTTCACGGTTTCCTCTAATCTTTGATGGGCCTCTGCAATCTCTTTCAAAGTTTGATTCTTCTTGTTTTCACTAAATTGAAATGAATAAAAGAATTGGAGTACATTTGATTGTTTAATTCTTGGAACTTTTGTTCGAATTCCTTCTATTTATCTTTAATCTTTTGAATTTCATGATCCTTATCAGCAATACTAAGATCTCTCAACTCAACTTTTTTCTTAAGACTTTCTGTTTCTTTATCCATGCGTTCTTTATCCTCTGTTAGCCCTCTTTTTTACTTGTGCAGGTGAGCCACCTCAGTCTTGGTATTCTCAAGATTTGTCTGTAATGTGTTAATCTTTTCAGTTAAGGTTCTAATCTACTCTTCTTTATCTTGCTTGATCTTTTTGGTTGCTCTTTTCTCCTTCTCAAGGTCCTCTCTAAATTATCATTAAATAATCGATTCATATTTAATTCTGATGACACTTACAAAGCCATGCTAAGCTAGTTATTGCTATCAATTGATTCACGGCCTCTAGGAGTCTTTTCTTGAGCTTAAGTACCTCTGATTGCTACTTCAATGTAAGCTGCTGAGTCATCACATTTCCTCAATGGCAGTTTAAGATTCCTGTAGTCATTTTCGCCATAATCACACAGATTCAAATCAGCCTCTCCTAATGAAGTCTTGCTCTTATCCTTAGCAATTGAATATACAGTAAGTTTTGACTATAAACATTCATAATTATAAGAACAGATGCTATCTTCAAATAAATCATACCATCTTTTCTTTGGATGGTTTTCCATCTGAGTCAACATCAACCATTGTGGTGATTTAGAATTTTTCTTCAAATTTAGCTATGGTGACACTCTCATTTAGCAATCTACTTTTGGTGTTTGCTTTCTTGGCACCTAAAATTAACTTAATATCATGCACATATTCCATTCATTTGAAATAATTTTATAATACTAATATTGCCAGAATACAACTTACCTCTTTGCCAATAAACGCAGACTGTTGTATTTTCTGTTACTTTAAGCTAGACCTACTTAATGTTTAGGTCTATAGTCATATTGATCTGTGCGTCGCTCATTTTGTTTCTTTATAACTTAGTATGTTATATTAAATTAATGATATTCAATTTATGCTCCCCACCGATAATTCTTCACACAGGGGTTTTGGGGTTTTGGGGTTTTGGGG